AGATAGTATATGGCTTTGGGTATATTATACTAAGATCCCCATATACCCCATACATATTCTATCTACTTAAGGGGGACTATAAACCCAAGACCCTTACAGCATGGTGCAGTTTTGGTCGGCCTCTCAGCCAGGTCTTCCGATCCCGGCACCTTTGAGGGACGTTGGGTTCCAGTTTAGGGTTTAGGGTTTAGGGTTCCGGATTTCAGGTCTAGGGATTGAGGTTTAGGGATTCGGGCCAGGGATTAGGGCCTAATGGACCCCATATAGACCCCAACTATTCCTCAGGAATTCTAGGGTACGCCAAGGAACACATGTACATGTTACATATACACACATACATATATGTATATATATATATACATATGTACACGTACTCTTCTAAACCATGGTGGGTATTTCCATGGTCTCCCCAATGGAAATACATACTGAGATCCCGTTTAGCGTAAGAATTGAAAAGAGCACACTTCTTCAACATAACCAATGAAAAATGCTTCTGGGAAACCCGATATTACACTTCCGCAATATGCATGAGAAATCCTGTGTACACTCACCCAAGCCAGCGGGAAAACTTTTATCTCATGTGGGTTGAAGTTGCGAGAACCAGGATCCGACGACTGGGAAGGAAATCCTGCATAACCGGATATGCTTAAACCTTGGAAGTTATGGCATGGCACCCAACCTTATACCACTGCAATGCTGGCGATAAACCAAACCCTAGGGAGTTCTGGTACTATAGCATACTTAAGGTTATTCAGGGTGTTGTTAGTCAACAATAGGAAAGACGACGACTGCTGTCGCTGCTGCTGGTACTGCTACCACTACTACTGCTGCTGCTGCTTCTTCTACTTACGCTGCTTCCTGGACTTAAGTTTTGGCTTTAGTCGACGTATAGGGTTTACGCAGGGCTTTGGGTAAAGTTACAGGAATGAGGATGTGCAACTTAATTCAGGTTCCAGAAAGCCGTGTATAATCAGAGTTTCCAAGCCATTTCAATTTTCTTTTCCCCATGATTCTCCATAAGGGTGGTAACCCAACCCCCGATTCCAAAACCCTGAACTTAATTTGAACGAACTTCCTCAACAGCAATCCAGAAACTCCAATCCTCGGCGCCCCGCAGGCACTGCTTTGCTGTTGAGCTGTCCGCGATGGAAAGGATTCCTTGGGAACAGAGTTTCTTGTCGTTCAACCATAAGTTCTAAACCAGAAGAGAGGCTCTTGGGATTTTGGGGGTTTCCCACAAGTAGGGGTACCTTTAATAACCGGATGTATAAGGTTTAGGGTTCAAGGTTTTCCAAAATTAGGGGTACCTTTTCGGGGATCCCAATAATAATACAGGTTATAATATTTAGGGGTTTGTATTGGAGTTTCTTTATTTAGGGAAACAACATATATATACATATGTATATGTATGGATATGTATGAATTCATAAGGTGTAGGGCTTCCGAACCCTAAAACCTAAACCCTCAAAACATTTTGAATCCAGTGCTTGGGGCTTGGAAGCTTGAGATTTGGGCCTTGGCGCCATTGTTTATGTGGTAGTTTTGACGAACAACGTGGAACGGGTTGTGACCTGCAGGTCTCAAAGTACTGGGGCCTCCATGTTCCTGAAGTTCATGCTTCACCCTGAAACTTACAGGCTAATTTTGACTACTTCCCAATCCCGAAGTAAGGGCCTTTGCGACTATAACCACCATGTGGGGTGAAGTATTGGTTTCTGCAAGGGAAAAGTAAAGTCTCATATCATGGGAATGAGACAAAACATCGAGTACCAAAAGGAATACATGCACCGTTTTGACAGGGAGTTTAAAAAGACGGGAATCCGTTTGAAGGGGCCATGTGGGGTTCCATGCTAACCTTGGAGAAGGCGCCCAACATGCAGCTTTTACCCTAGTACCCCAACCTGTGAACAGTTAGCAAACGAATGGCACTTGCGTACCTTGTTGGGAACTCAAACATGTCAGGCGGCTTTGCTTTTCATATCATCATTATATCGAAGAATTCTCTAACAACATGGAACTGAGGTCCTAATATCCTGCTGGCCAAAATTGCCCCCCCATCCGCCCAGCCGCACATTCCAAAGTATTACAACCCAAAAGCATACAATCTCAAATCCTCATGGTTAGTTGGAACACCGTTGCCCCAAGCCGCCCTTTGAATTCGGGCCCCTTGCTAGAAGGGGGACTAGCACATGGATCTTTGCATATTGAACAACCCCCCATCACAATTTCAAGATATCTCGAACAAATCCAAGCCCTAAACCCCAAGCCTTGCAACCTGCAACACAAAACATGGAAAAACCCTAAACCCTACCCTGAACCCTCAACCCAGAAAGTCAGGTCAGCCGGGGCTCTTTATGGGTTGTGGGCCAGGAGATGGTAGCGCCTTCGAACCAAGTCGGAATAGTGTAATGAAGTACTGGAGTAATGTACCGATGTAAAGAAAGTTTCTTGGGGATGGGTTTTGGTTGAGGATTTGGGCTTTCGAGAGGCGTAGGGTTAGGAATTCAGGGCTGAAGGTATGCGGGTAAAGGTTTACCGTGGTTGGACTAAGGAAAACTTTGCGCTTGCTGAAAACTACAACCAAAACGTGATTCTAATTTGGGTCAAAGCCCCATCCAATTATGCCACAAAGTATTATTGTAGGTCTATTACAACCTTATTAACTCCATATTCAAGGGCTGTGACTATAGAGGTGGTTGGACCTAAATTCTAATTTCTTCTGTCTGGTTTTGGAGGAGCTGGGATTACTGCAACCTACGGAGAGTTTCGGGTACCGGCCTTTTGTCTGAACTAAGAGCCTGGTCTACTTATCCTTGTACTGATACGCACAAGTCAATTGCACCTTCCCCGGAATCGTGAACTTGGGTTAAGATGTGTTAGATCCTGTGTTGAAGTAGATACAGTTCGTCCAGCTGTGGTCTGTTATCAAGATATAATCAAAGGGAAAACTTAGAATGGGGCTTGGGGTTTTAGGGCCTAATTATGTCACGGAATAGGGTCCGAGCATCACGTGGGGGCTGCAGCAGAATAGCTTTCAACAAATTCTGGGGCCCTAAATTCAGCGCCAGTAAACCCCCTTGCAGCCAAGAACAGATTTTTACATGTTTACACACACGAAAAACTTTTTAGATGCCGCGTAGTAGACTTGGAGGTTCATCCCAAGTTTGCCCCGTGGTTATAACGGATTATGACCATTGGTGGAGGAAATCTTGCACCACCTTGGGCTCCTAAACTAATTTAGTTCCCAGGTCTCTAGGACTGAAGGTGGTGCTAGGTTTCCTTCATCAACAATATCAGGGGACTTCGGAGCTTTGGAACTGGGTTATAGCTAAACTTGTAAGCGGGTTGTAATTGCTTCCCGCAACTTAATACAGCATGTAACCTCCCCCCCCCGTACACATTCATGTATACATGTATGGTACCAGCAAGGCCACTATAATCCCTTCAAAATCTCAAAAGATGAAGCTTTCCTCCTTTGAAAGACCGTCTAAGAAGGGCCGCCACTAGGTCGAGATTCTCCAGGTCTGCTGGTGCGGTCACACAGGGGCTTTACGGTTTAGGGGGCAGAATTACAAAGTAGGGGCCATGTTGTCTAGATCTGCTCAGGGGTCTGGGAAAAAGCGCTTCAAAGCCAACCCCCCTGTTCAAGAAGCGTCCATGGGGTTCCACGCGGTTTGGCTAAATGTTCGTGTTTGCTTTCTGTTCAGAATAACCCTACACAGACATGAAGGTAGAGCTGAAGCCCTGCATCCTTAGCAGAAACTAGGTGCCAGGGGGAAGCAGTCCAAAAGCTTGTCCGGATGATGCAGAGGCTGGTACTCATTTACAACTCCCATAGACACCGCAATTTTTTCGTAATAAATCCTATGAGCTTCCAGGTACTCTCATGAAATAGCCCCTGCTTGTGTCCAGGAGGACAGGACTAACCGACTAACCTCTCAAGAGCACCTCGCCTTGCTCAGAATCCCATCAAGCAAAGCCCTATACAGGCTGCAGTGCATAGAGCTACATATGTGGATAGTATTAACCTATCTAAAAATATACCTTGACACAATTACATGGAAGGCCCCGAAGTCCTAAGGTATTCTTATTCTTGGATTGTAATTATATTTTTGACTAGGTTATATCCCTAAACCCTAAACGCATATCTATTCTGATAGGCCCCTCGGGGTCAGAACTGTCGTCCCTCACATGGAGGTTCCTGGGCAGTTCTCATTTCTGATCCAATTAGTCCTTGTTTCCTCTTCCCCACATTTTTGACATTAGAGATGTGCGTGCGGGTTTAATATTAGTATGAAGGAATTGCAGCTGTAGGTGTGACCCAGTGAGAAAAATTTGTGGACTTAGGACTTAGGATGCTCATGATTGTGCTTTGCGTACCAGTACCCGGAACCTCCAAGCAAGCCATCATCTTATGTACTCTATACCGCATACATACCGAGATAAGGGCCCCTAGTAAGCCCTCACAGAGGTCAGGAGCCCACACTAATGTAGTAAACCCTCTCTCCTTAATAGGATTAGAATAGGAGATCCTAATATTCAGGCCCTTCAAAGCAGAACGTTTATTCATCATGGGTCTACGTTAACCAAAATTTCCAATATGGCACTTTCCATTTTCTTTTCCATTATCCGTATATATCTTTAACACAAAACCCCGATATACTATATAGAAGTTTCCATGGGTCTACACTAATGGCCCATACTTCCAACCCTAGAGCGCGAACCCTGAGTCCGAAATCTAGCCGCCTCCCCCCAGATTAAAGTGAGACCCGGCATGTGCCCTCTGTAGACTACTGTCCTGGTTAAGGGGGACTATAGAGGGTCACTTTGTAATTTGGGTGGAGGGTCGACCCCAAACACTGTACTGTAGGGACCTAAATCATCACCGACATCATCTTGAGGTCTAGTTGAGGTAGCCTATACTATGTTGCAAAAGGAAACTATGACCACAACATTGGTAGTTGTTTAGGCCTCTACATGAATCACTTGTTTTTGCATGCTTAAGCGGTCCGCTGCTTCTTCGCTCTGCCGGTCTCCTCATCGCTGTCCACTAGGACTGCTCCTGCGTGGTCGAAACTTGACTCCCTACGCCTTAAACCTTAAATCCGCAGGGTTTAGTCCAAAACTACTTTGGAAAAGCTGCTAGGCGACGTTTGAAGGGGAGGGTCGTCTTTCTAGGGCTTCTGTTGGGCTTCCACCTTAGTATTGGAAGGGTAACTCAATATTTTGGAGCTCTAAACCCTGACATCTGTTGCGGTTTAAGGTTAGGGTTAAACTCCAAACCCTAGCATCTGTGCTGCTTAGGTTCTTTTTTGGGACTCATGTAGGGTCTGAGGGATACTCGAAGAAGGAAAGTTTTCTCGCTGTCAGGACGATGCGACTTTCCAAACCATGAGCCGTGAACTGTACTTGTCCAGGCCCTGTGAGGATCTAGAAAGTAGAACCCCCCCAATATGGTACCCTATACTACTCTTGGGTAAATTCTAGAATCCCTTAAGGGAGCTCTACTTTCTAGATCCGTCCAGGGGTCTGGGTGTATGTCCAGGACAAATAGAGCACAGAGTTTAAAGAACTTATTGGGCTACCCATGAACCTCCAAGTGAATCCCAGAACCGAAATATTAAGTAGAACCTCCATGACAAGCCAAAATGGCATGAAAGAACCATTGATCCAACAATGGCCAAGGCCTAAACACTTGATCCAACGGTGACTACCCAGACCAAAAATGAATGAACCCCCTCCTTAATAGGGATTAAAATAGGGATCCTAATATGAAGGCCCTCAAAAGGAGAGGGGTTATTAATCATGGGTCTACATTATGCCCTAAACCCTTGATCCCACCTTTAGTGTGTGAGCTTTTGCTGACAGCCGCAGGCTCGGTGTCCGGGACATCCTCGCAGGAGCCAAAACTGGGCTGTTCTCAAAATTATGGGCCCGTTTGGGTTCTAGGTCATATTACGGCACCTAATATCTGGGGGTGCCAAAATGGGAACGTAATAATAGGAACGACCCAACAAGAAGAAAGTTCCAAGACAATAACGCCCGACTTGCAACTGCACTTATACCTCAATTGCAACATTACCGGCGGACTTACAAAAACTCCTATCGTCGCGTTGTCGTGAACAGTAATCTTTGTGGGGCCCCTTTTGCTCTTTCCTATCATTTTGGGGAGAGTGGCCCTATTGGAACCCCCACCAAGTAACAGTGAGTATTCGGAATCACAATGATCATATTTCCAGACGAACTCCCAATATGGTACCTTATACTAGTATTGGGACACTTCTAGAATCTTTGCAAGGAGTTCTACTTTCTAGATCCGCCCAGGGGTCTGGGTTAGGGCCCTCTTATACTGGATTGCCGCTAAGGAACTTAAAGAAAGTTGCCACAACGTGTTTATATAGTAAATCATAGTGTTTCCCCAATATATTAACTTAAAATTAAATTCCTTAACAGCAAACACGCATATTCCTGTTAGACCTAGATCCCTAAACCCTAAACACTACACCCTAAACCCAGTATATTCCCCTATTAGACCTAGATCCCCAAACCCTAAACCCAGTATATTCCTCTTAGACCTCTATTACAGGTTGGGGGGTCCACGGATGATATCCCCCCCTAGCGGCCTCGGCTTGAGAAGGCGGTTAAGGTTTTAGAGTTTTAGGCTTCAGGGTTTTAGGGAAACGGGGTTTCAGGGTTAAGGGTTTTAGGCTTAAGGGTCTCGGGTTGAGGGTTTAGGGTTGTTGGGTCAAGGGTTTAGGGTTAAGGATTTGAATCAGGCCTGTGAGTTCCCTGCTCCTTCGCTTGGGTACTGCCCCCATCCAGTAAGAGTCTAGGTTAGGGGTAATAGTAAGGACTTTGCAAAAATGTACATATATTATACAGCTGTTGCTGGGTGGGGGCAGTTCCCACTTCTTCCTATGCATACTTGACCTGCTTGAGGATTCTGGCTCCTTGTTGGGATGCTGCGTGCACACCTCTTCTTACCAGGTGAAATAGAGAACATAATTATATCCAAGAGTGACCCAGGATCGAAGACAACTACAGTACCTCAGCTCTCACTATGTCCAATATTCACTGAGGCGGCGATCTCCTTAAGCCTAAGTCATGAGCCCTTCATATAGGGGCATACAAGGGTTTTATAGGGTGTATATGGGGTTACATAAGGTATTTGGGTATTATATAGGGATTGTTGATTGAGAGGATTTTGGTACCCCCAAACCCTAAACCTAAACTCCTGAACACCCGCAGCTGCAAGCCCACGAACCCCTGAAGCATCCCTCCTCCTGTTACATAGCCCTCATAACCTACACTCATATGAGCCATTGTCTAAACTCCTAGTATCCCCCTTAATAACCCCTATAGTAGTCCCTTATATAATCCCCCATATAACCCCCCTTTTAAGGAGTTTAGACTATAGCTCATATGGGGTTTCCCGACTCTGGGGTGCTTGTTAGGGGTAGCTGTCATAAGGATTTAGGTATTTGGGGTTTACATTGTGGTTCCCCTATCTACGGAGACTATCATATTGTCCTACAGCAAGAAAAGCAAGAACCGCTGAAACGCTCAGCCTACACAACTTGGGTTGCTGTTAAGGAAGTTAATTCAGATTACTATATTGGGGCAACCCTATGGTTTTACTATATATGCCCATCATGGTAACTTAGTTTAAGTTCCATAAATCCGTATATGTTCCATAAATCCGTATATTCCCTCAGTTCCCATTCCATTTTCCATTCTGTTTTCCATTTGATTCTCCCTTGCAGGGGGATAATACAGCTTAATGTATTTCTATATTTACCCACTATGGCAACCCTAAACCCTTAATCCTATATACCCTGTATACCCATTATGGTACCTTAATTTAAGCTCCTTAACAGCAACCCAGAAACCGGACCTGCCTTCGCCCACATGCCCAGAGCCCGCCGTGCGGCGGCGCTGGCGGAAGCCAAAGCTTCGGCTTCTTTGAGAAGCCCGGGGTCCTGCATTGCCCTGAACCCTTCAGCGGGGTTTAGGGGGTTTCGGGGGTTTAGGGTTGAGGGTGTAGGGTTTTAGGGAGTTTAGGGTTTAGGGTTCAGGGTTAAGGGTGTAGGGTTGTAGGGGGTTTAGGGTTTAGGGTTCAGGGTTAAGGGTGTAGGGTTGTAGGGGGTTTATGGTTTAGGGTTAAGGGTGTAGGGTGTTTGAACCCTTAAACCATAAACCCTAAACCGGTTCCGGTTCCCTACTTGAAGGCTCAAGTAGGTGTGGGATGGTAGAGAATCAAATGGAAAAGAACATGGACATGACATGGAAACTGGGATTACATAGGGGATGACTAAATTACTAATAAGGCGTACTAGAAGGCTCTGGAGACGACTTGCCAAGTAGGTTGTAGATGGGGTTATATGTCACCCAACTGGTGTTCGTCTACTTATAGCACACCTGAAAACCTGCTTACAAAGCCCCATGAGCCTCTTAGTATAAGCGTCTTGTAAGAATGTCGAACTTTGCGTAATTTTTTGAGCGTCCTCTTCAATGTTTGAACTTCCTTATTCTTTTATTCGGTCTTGGAGCAATACACCGTAAAAGCTGCGTTCAACTATGACCCAGTCCATTAGGGCTTCAAGTTGTGGACTACATGATTAATAGAGGTATATAGGTGTATAGATAGTAGGTTTCCTTATTGCAGTAACTTAATCTAAGCTCCCTAACAGCAGCCCAGTAGCACTGTACCCCATGCTACTGTTGGGTACCACTAAAGCCTAAACCCCCAACCCTAAACCTTAACCCCCAAACCCAGACCCTGTACCATTTTCCTTCGTTTTCCAGTGCCCAGGTGGTCTTCAAGCTCTGAAGTGCTTCCTTGCCACAACGCTCAGACGCGGCGCAGGATAACCGGAAAACCCTTCTAGGAAGACTCCTTGAAGCGGGTTATATATGGGATGATATAGGGGACGATTAGAGGGTTTAGTAAGGGGGATACTAAACTGTAAAGCTGGAGAGCGCTACTGCTTAGCGGATTGCGCGCCAAAGGCAGGCCCGCAGGCAAGGGCAACCACAGAGGGCCAGCTGGATAGAATGGGGTCGCATTTTGGGTCCCAGTCCCAGAAGCACACACAGCAGAGTTCCAAGGGGGCTACATGGGTGTCATCTCAAAATCGCTGGCATCGTGAACCTCGTGGTGCAAAACGAATGTCTTTAAAAATGTAGGGTGCCATCTTACTTAACTATATACAGGAGACGTTTAGTTCTCTGGTTTTTTAATCCTCACCTCGTCCGTAAAACCTGCCCTAATTTAGCCCCCACCTCCAAAACCTAAGCCCGACTCCCCGAGACCTTATCTGAAGGCTCGAGGACGAAATAGGTAGGGCACGAATGGGGTCATAGTTCACTTATTTGGTCATAACCTACTCAAAAAGTTCCAAAGCTTATGCCCAAAACCCCAAAACCCCTAAACCCTAAAACATCCTAAAACCCTACTCCCTAAACCCTAAAACCCTGAGCCTTAAACCCTCAAAACCCTAAACCCTAAAACCTTAAACTCTAAACCCTAAACCCTAAAACCTTAAACTCTAAAACCCTAAAACCCTAATCGGTAAAGTGGCAGTCCTCCGGATTGACGCCATACCATGCCAGGTTCTCGAAAAAGATTCCTAGCTCCTGCACGATATGATCTATAGTCTAAACCCACAATATGCTGTTAGTATAGGGTGTGGGGTTTAGGGTTTACGGTCTAAACTCCTAGTAGCCCACTTAAAAACCCCTATAATAAATCCCTATATCATCCCTTATATGACGCCCTTTAAGGAGTCATAAAGGGTTGAAGGTTTAGGTCGCGAGGGTTCAGGGTTTAGGTTCCCCCCATTTAAGGACCCTGAGATTACTATGTGATTCTTATTGGCTCCTTATTTGGGGGTTTGGGGTTCCCAAAATCCTCTGCTTGATGGAGGTTCATGGGTAATGTATGATCCTAAACAAGGATAACAGTGCAGAATGAAACAGAACATGATATGGAAATCGGGATTAGTGAGGGGCTGAGCGCAGTTGTACGTAGGAGCCTAAACAATTAAAACAGGGCTTTGGCGAGGTATTCCATACTGTACTTTAGAAGGTTTGTTACAGAACAGAAGTGGTAGCCCAGTCAGTCTTCTGCAATAGCGATGTCCGAGAGTACTAGCTAAGGCTTTGGGTCAAAGGTTTTGGGTAGTTATAGCTGAGGTTCGGGGTTCTAAGGCTAAATTTAATACGCCCGAGTTCAGCCGCTTGGCCACTGTTGCTATCTGGACCACCTTTTTGATTGAGACCAAGTGAGGCTGTGATAACTTGCCCAGGAAACGTAAGTCAACCAAGTAAGGTTGCGATTGGTTAGTACTTACCCCAGTCATAGCCCAAGTATGCTTATGCATGAGCCTCGACGTGTTGTGTTGAAAGGGAGTAAAGGACCATGCCACCTCGCAAGGGCCTGAAGGTTGTAGCTTTGCGGCTCATTTGGGATGGCAGTATCCCTATATTCACACCGTAGATTTACACGTGAACCCCTAGATCCGTCCCCACCGGCTTTCAAGACCTTATATCATAAGCCCTGGGCCGGAAGCCCGATGCCCCGACCATTTACTTGGCGGTCCACGGGCATTTAAACCAGTGGTCAAGATCCAGTCGTGCACCCCGTAAACGCTTCTAACGTGGCTATACTTGGGTCTATACTTGGGTCTATACTTGGGTTATGAGTACATTGACCAGCAAATTCTAATTGCCCATGGACCTCCCTGTTCAAAAACCCATGGCTAACGCTGCCCACGGCTCCTTCCAGCGTTCCGTGGCTTCTGCTGACCCGGAATTGTCGGCCTCGCATTCCACAGCTTTCATCGAGAAGCGTGATAAACCTATTCTTTCTGTTGCTAATTCCTATCACCATTGCATGTACTCTCGCAACTACTATTGCTTTTGCTTTTACTATTAATACTACTATTGCTACTGCTGCCACTACTACTGCTATTACCATTACCACTGCTGCTGCAACTGCTAATGCTACCGTTACTCCTGCAACGACTGCTACCACGACCACAATGACCAATACCCTGTCTGCAGGCATGCTTGCCTAGAGTGAAGGCTCTATCAAAACCGTAAGCACTCAATCCGAAACACTAACACTTAGTTCCCAAACCCGAACTCCTTGTATAGTGTGCTTTCTGGATCGTAATCGGTGTGTGTTTGCCTGAATACGGTTCCACGAGTTGGAGAAGCTTCAATAGGGATGCGTGCCTCAGGTCAACCCTAAATCCTATCAACTCATAACATAGTTTTAACTGTAGATGTAACACAACTAGAACCAGATTGAGGGGCTCAAGGGGCTTACAGCTGGTAAATACGTGCAGTTGTAAATGGGCTACAGTTGCCTTGAACCTCCCAAGTACTTAGGGCGAGGATTTTGGTTTCAGGGCTATAGTTCGAGGTGAGGTTCTTTGTTGCTGGGTTATGAATTTCAGATTGCTCCTGCAGGATTTATCTATTGCACGCGTCTGAAAAATCAGTCATGGGCTCATCCTAACTCCCAGAGTGAGCCTAGAACTGTGTATCTTTTCAAGGTAGGTTTCCCACTCTCTACCCCAAGTAATAGAACCTTTGCTACAGAGACCCCCAGAAGTACCATAAAGGTGCACATTCCACGGCTGTACTCTTTGGGGCTCAGGGTCTAAGGTTCAGCATGTGTAAGCAATGCTCGAAACGCTTGCTCTCCTGTGAATCAGCGTCGACGTGAACCTTTAATAGTTGTTACCATCCTTAACTCCAAACCCAAGCCAATCGAAAACCCCCAAATTGAAAGTCCCGAACTCAAAGCTCTAGACCCTAAACTCAAACCTTAAAAGCCCAAACCCGACCTAACAGCCCAAACTCAAAATCCTGCATGCTCAACAGAAAAAACCTGCACCCTGGACCAACAGTCTCAATCCCTAAGCCCACCGCACATCTCGAAACCCAAAACCTAAAGTTTTTGTAACCCCTCCAATCCCCGAAGAGCCTATGTAACCCTTGGAGGGTCGAGGGAAGATGAGCTTGATCAATCCTCATCAGGAAAGGTAACCTCATCCAACTCGGACACCTCAAGCAGCCCCTAAACCCTAAACCCTGAATTCTAAACCTAGAACCCGTAGAGCCCCCCCCAAAAAAGAACCTAAACTCTGATCCCTATCCCTTAAACATGAAGCCCAAGACCCTGAACCCCAAACCCCCTAAACTCCCAGACCCATACCTCGATAAGGCGACGAACTTCAGCAAGATGCTCCTTCACCTCGAGTCAGAAATTATGTAGGGTTCAGGGTTTAGGGCTTGGGGTTTAGGGGTAGGACACGAAACTAGTGGAATGTATGGTTTAGGGTGCAGGGTTCCAGGGTTAAGGATCAAGGTTTAGGATTTAGGGCTTTAGTATTTGATAGCGTTTAATTTAAGATTTAGGTCTTGGTACTCCAAATGCTGGGTCTTTTCAATTAGGTTCTATGGTTTATATGGGGTTAAGAGGGCTATGCCACATGAAAAGCTTAGTCTCTCGTGGCCTACATGCTTAGATGAGTGCAAAGCCACATCCGAAACGACACGGACAATGACAACCCTAAACCCTAAACCCAGGGGTTGTGGAAGGTGTTTTATACGGATTGCGAGTCGGGCCTACGTAATCCAGGGTTGCATTACTGCATTTGCTCTAAGACAAGAATATGGGGGTTTCCCAAAATTAGGGGATACCTTTTTGGGGGTCCCAATAAATAAGATCTATAGTATTTGGGGATCTATTTGGGGGGTCCCCCTATTTAGGGAAACTACCATATGGGCAATCACTTCTCTAAGCTCAGGGTTTTGGAGCCTAGAGCAGGGTCTAGTAAGGTTTGCGCTCTAAGCTGCTTTTGCAAGAAGAATTTGTGGCCGAAGGCGGTCGAGTGATCATATTGTGCATGTTGCTGCGCAGAATCGGTAGCAATGGTAACCAGGTCCATTCAACAGAAAGTTGCCTATCGCCTTAAACCCTAAATTCTAAACCCTAAACCCCTAAGCCCAAATCATAGCACCGGTCTTGAGGACCTCGAATCTCTTGGAAACGCAGCTCAAAGAACTCTCTCATCAAACACAGATGTGGGCTTAGGGTTAGGGTTCAGGTATGCTAGACCCAATTACCTTGCAATTCCCGAAGCTGTGGTGTTTCGTACTTCCTCACCCATATGCTATGAAATTAGGAGACGGGAAGAGCTAAACCCTCAACCCTAATCCCAGACTCCAGCTACAACACCTCAAGAGGCTTCTGAGAACTCTGCGGGCACATTCATTGCTTTCACCACGTCAAGATCTGCATGCAGCATCCAAGGAGGAGGTTTAGAGTTTCAGATTAAGGGTAAGAACGCAGTCAGCTGACCTTGCAGCCTACCCTGCACCCAGCTGCCACAAGCCTAGTTCACTGCTTTTTGCAAATTATTTGGTGTCAGGGAGACTGCTTCGTGGAGTAAAACCCCTAAAGCCTAAACCGTGCACATTCTGGCAAACGGAGTTTCTCAAAGCAGCGGGCCCTAAAAAACTAGGGGGTATGCTGGTACCCAGACCCCTGGGAGGATCTAGAAAGTAGAACCCCCTAGTATGGTACCCTATACTACTATTGGGCAATTTCTAGGAACCCTTAAGGGGGATCTACGTACTAGATCCGCCCAGGGGTCTGGCTATCATAAGGAGACTATAGGGGTGCCCGAAAAAACATGCAGGGATCAGGTTGGGTGGAGACTGCCAGTTTCTTGTGTGTAGGCTCTGTCAAGGTGCCTCTGAGCGCAGCCCGTAACTATGTTAGGGTCCGGGTTGTAATTTGGGGGTTGTGGTTACCAAATCCTCTTATTACCTCCATTGAAAACAAGATCTTTGTTAACGCGGCCTTTTTCCTTGGTCCACCCTCTCCTTGTATTGAGCCCATGCCAGCCCGGCCACAAGCAAAGCATAAACCCTAAGCCTGAAAACCTAAAGCTTTATCCCTAACCTGCAAACCTAGAACTTAAACCCTAAATCTCAAACCCTAGACCTTCGACCCTGAAACTTAGCTTCGACCCTGAACCTTAAACCCTAAACCTGAAAGCAGCCTGTCCTTTTTAACCTTACTTCAGGCCACCTCCATGGTGCCTGTATCTGGCCTATGCGCATGAACTTACTTTTTTTAGGGCTGGGGTTATCAACATGCTTTTCGTCCTGAAAATCACAACAAAGGCCCGTACGTAACCAAATCAACAAGACCACGGATTAAGCTATTATTCGTTGTATGAGCGGAAGTCTAAACTTCTAGTATCCTCCTTTTATACCTCCTATGATACTCGACTGTTGTATGTTGGCGGGTTCATAGGCGGGACCTTGACTTTTGCAAGCTCAACTTCTTGGTAAGGATGCAGGATTTTGGGTTCAGGGTGGTGTAAGCTCCTCGCCCAAGAGCCTGAATTTCAAAGTGTACGTCCTAAGCTGTCAAATCCTAAGCTTTCCCCAACCCCGTTAAAAAATAGAAACTCATGTACGTTCCCTGTACACCCCACACAGCCCTCGTCGTTTTTGGTGCTTACAGGCAGGTGATGGAGTCAATCCCTATTTGCCTGCCAAACACCATCCTGACATACACCCCTTATCATGGTGCCCTCCAGACTCACTCGCCTTCCCCCAAGCCTGAACCTAAGGGTTTCAGGCTTGCATTCCTAGGGTTGTATCCTTGGGTGTTGGGATCCTTTTAGGGGAATCCAGGGGACTACAGTGGCTCATATAAGGGCTATATTGGGGAAACCTTTTAGGGGTACGACATTAGGGGTACAACTCAGGAACCCTTGATGAACCCTAAATCCAAACCCCTAAACACCACAAGTAATGTCACTTGAAGGCTCGGGGGACATAGAAAGTAGATTATGAATGAAGTTGTAGACCCCTTTATTTCGATAGTCCGCTTTTAAGCCTCTATCAAGGGTTCCAGGGTTTTACCCCTGAAGTTGTACCCCTAGAAGGTGGTCCAAATACCCAGGGGTACAACCCTGAAACCCTGACTTTAACCACACTATGTCTCCTGAGCCTCTATGCATCCTAGATCGAGCCTTATAGGGATCCACTCCGCAATCCCAACCGATTATTAGTAAACATGAAACCCACAACCCCTTCGTACTGAATGTTCTCAATGGAGCACCAGTAGATATCAGGGAAATATTTGCTTTTAGGAGGTGGCGGTTCACCCAAAACTCTCAGCCCTATACCCCGAACCCTAAGCCCCAAATCCCAAGTCCTGAATCCTAAGCCCTGAACCTCAAATTGCGAATTTCAAGTCCTAAAGCTTAAGAATCACCAGCGGCCTTCGAAACACGGTTGCTCTGAAGGAGCTCGAAATCAAGCTACCATTATGGGGCAACGTGTCACTTACTATTTATATATATATATATGAGCTCCAGTCAATATCTACCATATGCTTAACGGACATGGGTTCTTAATAGGGGAAATAGCAAGCACTATACTAACCACCACACGCTAGTTGTGCCTAAATCCTATCGATTTCTCATATACCTTATAAACCCTAAAAGGCAGCCCAAAATCCTATCCATTTCTCAAAACCCTTATAAACCCTATAAGGCAGCGCAGGAAAATGAGCCCCTATCCATTTCTCATAACCCGTAAAAAAACCCTATAGGGCAGCCCAGGAAAACGAGCTGCTTGCCTGATTTGATACCCCGTAGCCATTTCAGCTTTTCGCCGAGGTGTCCTTGCCAACAATTTAAGGTGTGGCTTGGGTTCCCAGACCCCCTAAAGGATCCAAAAAATTGAAACCCCCCAATAATCCCTTAGTTTCCCCAATGTAGTACTGGGTTCATATTGGGGGGGTTCCATTTTTTGGATCCTTTAGGGGGTCTGGGTTTAATGTTCAGGTAGGTTTAGCGTTTAGGGTCTATAACTTGAGATTTTCTTACCTAGGTTTAAGTGTAGGTTCCGGGCTTTATAAAGATGATTAAGGCCTACCGATCGGGCGTAGGGCTCAGGGGAGGGTCCAGGGCGTGCGTCTCAGAGTTCTGTGCTAAGTTTCCTAGGCCAAGAATGTTTGCACTTTCACCCAAACCCTCAATCATTAACCCTAAACCAAATCCTAGACTATCCCTAATGGGGCTTTAGGAACTCCATGAGTGAAATGTGCACCTACCCAGCTAGTAAGATACGGGACATGTCTGTACCGCCGTTTCAAGAAAGCATGACTTCAAGTACCTGGCCTCAATCGAAACTACCTTCAAAACTCAAAGCCCCGAACACGTTTAGGGTTTGGGCTTAGGGGTTTAGGGTTTCGACACTTGGCCATGAATTTTTAAGACGCCCAGAGCCGAGCCTTCGAGTCCAAAAACTCTCACTTGCAGGTTTATGGGCCTCACTTCTGATACCAACAATCCAGCTTGACCTCAGTCTACTATAGTACTATATTTTCAAATGTATAATACACGAAGGGCCATGGGTTTTTCATGCCGTATCAACTGGTTAGTTTTGCCTGGAGCTCATGACGATGAAAACAACTTTAAATCCAACAGCCCAGCCTCCCCCATACCCTAAACCGCGTCCCGTCCTTTGGGCGCTGATTCCAAGAGTGACTCAAAATGGAGGAGCTGCGTCTCGAATCCCAAGTTGGGGTAGATAGCCTGGTGAGATACTGCAGCTTCAAAAGCACAGAAATAGAAGGATCCTAGATTAAGGGTAGAAGCAGAACTGGAAACTTAAAAGTCATCTGTATACTTCTAGCAGTGGTAACGATGAAAGTACTCTCAATACTAATAACAATTGACACTAGATACTCATCGGCATTTTTTGATATTAGTACTAATTGTAACATGGGCTGTTTCCACGTCAGCGGAAATCAAAATAGAACCCAGAATGCTACAGTCCTGTGTAAGGGGACTTCCCAAAAGGACCCTTGATTTGAACGAACAAAACCCTAAATGCAAAACCCAACCCGTAAACCCTATCTCCTGAGGTTGACTCGCCCTCTCATCTAAGCACCGGTAAGAAGGTGCAGCACAAGACACGAACCACGACACATGTCAGAACTATCCCAGGAATAGAAAAGGCAACAGTCGTCGTAACAGCAACAGGTACTGCAAATGTAGTGATACACGCCCTATAATTACGCCTCGGAAGAACACAACCCCTCAGAGTAACAACTTGCAACCTAGCCCCAAGAACTGCAACGACTATTGGGTCGTATGCCCTGGGCATCCGAAAGCAATCAAGATCAGGGCTGATTGGCTCCACCAATCCACCGTCAAAAGAATTCAACTGTTTAAGAGCAAGTTTGGGGGGCCCCTAGAAAACGCGAGGCATATAGGGGGATTATAACAGGGACTCTGGAAGCCCCTGCCATGGATGGATCCTATAGCGGTAGTTTTGAGACAGTTTCGAAAATCTTGGCAAACCCTAAGCCCTAAACCCTAAACCCAAACCCATTTAGTGCAACGGGTTCAGCTGAGCTGCAGCGCGCTTTGCCTCCACTTGCTTTCTGGCAGTTTGGTAGGACAGACCTTCAGTTTGGGAATTCCTGACTGTTCTTACTGGTTGCTAGTAGGAAATGAGGGGATGGACACCTTTATTGCTGCGGATGCTAGTAGGTCACTACGGGAATTCTTTCCAACCCACAAATAATGACTATCCTCAGGGCGATTTAGAATCATTCAAGTCCCAATTTAAGGCCATTTGGGTACTACTCCCTATATAAACAACCATTCAAGGTGAGGTCGAGTGAGGTCACTTTAAATTGCCCAGTATTCTTCATGCTTCACGTCAGTAAACGGACTTTTTTTTTGGGGGGGATCGGTTTCCTCACAGGGAGGGATGCCCAGCAAACAAACCCTTAAACCCTAAACCCTAAAGCGCTATGATTCCGTGCCAGTGTTAGCAGCCCACGTCTGAGCTTTAGGGATTAGGGCTTAGGGTTTACGGTAATCTAAACTCCTAGCATCCCCCTTACTGGCGCTATACTGCTCCCCTATATAATTCCTCATATAACACCCTTTTTAAAGAAGTTTAGACTGCAACATATGGCGGGGAGGAGGAGATACCGTGGATGGTGTGTATTTGGGGGATCTCAAGTGGTGCCAGATTTCCTGCATGCACAGCTAAGCCCTAAAGCCAAAACCCAAAATTAACAGGCTTTCACCTGATAAGCCATAGTCTAAACTCCTAGAATCCCCCTTAATGACCTTTATAGCCTTATGGTAGTCCCCTACATAATCCCATAAATAACCCCTTTAAGGAGTTTGGACCCTAAACCCTTAACTTTATAGAACCCCCCTTTAGA